TTATATATGAATAAACCCATATTATATATATATATATATGTATATATATACATTCATGCCTTGGTATTCCCTTCTTTTACTACTTTTATTTGTTTGTTGTTGCCTTAATCTTGATCTACTTAACCTAATAGGAATAGCCAGACTTTATGCCAAAAAAAAAACTCGAAAGTAAGGAGGATTCAAATACTCTTCTAGGCATTGGCCTTGCGGTTTTGGAGATATTTGAAAATAAGCTTGAAGCTCTTAAATGCTGATTTTGATTGAAATATCTTGGAAAATTGAGTATTTTGCTGTACTAAACTCATTTTTTAACTGATTCTTCCTATCGAGCATTAAAATATAGTCCAGGATCTTGATAAGATTTGGCTCACACATAGGCAGCAAAGTGGAACTAGTAAATGCTGGGTATGATTAAGATAACTTGATAAACAAACAAGTTTTTCATACAAAAAGTACAACTAATAAAGGACGATTGTGTCGAGAAAACTGGAAAAACAAAATAATTTTTCTTTATTTAACTTTATTTTCGATCGATCTTTTCTATAGCAGCTATACGCTAAAGTGGTCCGATGTTGAAAAGATTTTGCATATATGTAGAGCGTATATTGAAGGTCGAAGATGTTGCCTTCAATGCGTTACACATTCCCCAACAAAATAATAAATAATAAAAAAATAAACAAATCATAAAAATAATAAATAATCATTAAATAAATAAAGGTATAAATATAATTATAAATTTAAACACACATTCGAGTTGTAGTTTCTTAACAAAAAAAACGCAAGGCTGAGTTGATGTTATCTACATATTTCATATTTTACCGTTCATTTCAAATTTCACCTTGAAAGTTGATATCGAAAATATTATTGTCCCGTTCACTTCCGGTCTCGTAAGCAAGAAGCCTCGCTGCAGCCCGTTTTATTTAGTTAACCCTTGTGCGTTTCACAAGACTGGCTGCAGTTCGTCTTAGGCATAGTTCACTGTCGCCAGGTTTGAATGGATTTTCCATAAGTGCTTGCCGCACTTGCGTTTGACAATTAAAAAGAGAAATAATTGATAAATATATTTTATCCTCTTAAGAAATTATGCAATGCGACAACTGGAAAATCCATATTCGAATTCGTTTATAGAAATAATCAAATTATGATTTGAGGTTGATTGCGGCGGGGGCGGGGCAAGGCGAAAGCGCTGCAAATGCATAGAGAACATTGAAAGAGGGCAACGTCGTTTTATGTTACTGCTGCAGTGTACTTGTTGCTGCAGTCGCAGTCGCAGTCGGCGGCGCAGTTGCAGTCGTCGGCGCAGCTGCGGCTTTAGTCTGGATACAAACGTTGCAGAAGTGGGGCATAAAACACAAGACCAAACGAGCTAACAAATGAAGATCGCGATGACGGCAACGGCAACGGCAACGGCGAGTTCTGCGCGGGTCTCGTTTACTCAGTTTAGCTGTCTCTGTCTGTTGCTTTCTTGAGTCAATAACCCCGCAGCAGAGAAGAACAAGAAGCAAGAAACAAGCAAGCATGCGAACGAGAGGTATGAGCCGCTCACTCCACCTCTCGCTCTCAGCAAGAGTCAACTTGAGTAATGAGTAAAGGCAAAGTCAAAGTGAACTGAAAATTGTCGGAGCGTTATAAAGCCGCCCGCCAACAATCGAATGACGGCGCGGCGCGGCGCGGCGCGGCGCAACAAGAACAACGATTTGTACCTAAATCTAAATCCCCGCCCCAAGAATGCCAGCAAAATAACAAATGCATGTACTATGTGGCAGTGTGCGTGTGTGTGTGTGTGTGTGCGCCTGCACTTCGAAGATGATCAACGAATGCGCGGACAAGTGAACATTAATAAATAAATATGTGTGTATTTAGGTATGTGGGTATGTCTGTATGTAGCGAAAGCGCCACGGTTGGAATTGAAACGCGCAAAAGGGACGAGAGCAGCCAATAAACAAAGCAACTCGCACACACACACACACTCACACGCAGGCACACAACTCGCCCGTTCAGTAATTCATTTACTCACACGCACTCAAAGCTCTCCTGCCGCACACATATACATACATACCTACGTATGCACATTGCACTCGAGCTGTTTCATTTCATAAACCCTCACTTTTCTATAAAGTTAACCCAGAATTTTCATGCACATGCAAAAAAAAAAAAGAAACAAATACAGTTTTATTAAATAACTCCTTTAATGCGCGAGTGTAAACACAACAAATAACGAGTTCTTATTTGAAGCATGTGTGTGCGTGCGCGTGTACTTATGCATGTGTTTATAATTCTTTTAAATGTAAATAGTTTTAACGGATCAGGAATTTGCATAGAATTGAGTAAATATGTATATCAGTGTATTTAAAAATAATAATAACAAATTAGGCGACGGCGGCGGCGACGACGACGTTATTGCTAATGTTGTATGTACATACATGTGTACATATAATACAAAAGCAGCGGCATTTGGCAAAGATACACAGCAATATAAATACACGCATACATACATGCTCAAAAAGCGACTGACGGCTGCCAATTGAGCTAGAGATAATCAAGAGCAAAAAAAAAAATATATATATAAAAAAAAACAACAAACAAACAAGAAAAGCTCGTGGACGGTTAGAGAGGGGAAGGGGTGTGGGTATCGACTGGCAGTGACGCCAGCGGCGGCGTCGGGCGAGCACAATAAAAAGAATTTCACATTTGTACTCTGTCAGTCACAAATATTGAAACGACAGGCGGCAGGGCAGAGACAGAGGCGGTCGTGCGGTCGGTCAGCCAGTTGAGTCGAGAGAGTCGCGGCAGGCAGCGTCAGTCATTCGCTATGGGCAAAAAAAATATATATGTATATCTACACGTCAAGTTAGCGCAAAAAAGAAAAGAAAAAATCAACAACAGCAGCAGCAGCAGCAGTCGCTTTGGTCGCTCCCTCCCCCATTCCCATACCCATACGCACGCTCCGCGCACCTTTTCATTGGCAGCGCGTCGACGACGGCGTCGCAGTCGACGTTGTCAGCGGTGACAGCGTCAACGATAAATGCTCGAATCATATTGCCAACGCTTTGCTGTTGTTCCTATTGTTGTTGTGGCGCGCGCTTGCTCAGCTCACACCCTCACACACACACATACACACACACGCACTCGTATATATACGAACACAAATACAGCCTTTGCTGCTGGCGTTGACGACGTTTTGACCCGAGCAGAGGTCCAACTGTGCGGTTGCCATCATAAAACTTTAAGCGAAGCATAAGAAAAGACACACAACAACAACAACTGAAGCAACAGCAGTAGAAGCGGGCGGGGAACACTGGTAACAGCAAAAACAACATTACGGTTAACTCTAGTATTGTGTTAAATGCGCGTATTTGTTTCCTTTTACTATTGGCGCATATCGTGGCGATATATTAAGCAATTTAATATTAGTAAATACCCCCATCCTCATCCTCACTTACCCACACACACACACACACACACACACAGCCTTCTTCCTCCACATGCTGTGCGATAAGCAGACACATCTGTCGGCTGATGCGTGACAGCAGAAAGCGCAATAACTGTTATTAAAAAGGCAAGAGGAGCAAAAATGGGCTCCACCTTTATTGTGGCACTGTGGACCGCTAAACGTATGCTCATTAAAATGATTAATTCATAAAATTATGCATTTTCTTTTTCGCAACAAAAAGTACAACAAAAAACAACAAAAAATGTGTAATTATCAACCACTGTGAAAACGCGTCGCTGTCGCCGTCGCCGTCGAACTCAACGTCAGCGTCGGCATCGGTCCATTCATTGTCTCTCACACTCGTGCCACGGCACCGCTCTCATGTTTCAATTCCACTTGTAACGGACCGAGCGCGTTTTTGTTTTCTCACATTTTCGCTCTCAGTCGCCGCGTTATCCCACAGATATTTGGTTTGCTTTTCGCCACCGCTTGTCCGTAAATAATTTCATTTGTGGATTAAAACTACAAAACGCTGTGAAAAAAATTATCAAAAAATATGTGAAATGTATCAGAAAATACGCCTGATGCATGAAAGGTGCCGTTTTTTAAGTAAGCATCCGTCGAATGTAAATGCACTTTTTTGTTCAAACAAGCCGACAGACTGTCTGTGTCTCAGTCAGCTCTTAGTCAGCAGCGTCGGCAGCGCGGTGACGTCGTCGGTAGCGGCGGCGTTCATATGCAGAATGTGTGAAATGCAAATGCAAGCAAAACTTGAGCTGCAACAATTTATGAATGAAATTTACAAAAAGAGAAACCAGACATACATATGTATAAAAACAACAACAAAATGTACTCAGATAAAAGCTACTCAAAGCAAATCGAACGGCATTTTCTTTTTTTTCGCCTTGTGTATGCATAGTTCGCCGCAGCGCAGCGGCTTATGTATGCCTCTGGGGTCCGTGAAGGCGAGTGTATGTGTCGATTTTGCCTATAATACCATCAATCGGATTATTTGTGTGTTTAATATTTTTGCATATGTAGTTCTGTAAAAACGTTACATTTATTCGACTTTTACTACGTTTTGCAATGCAATTTGTTAATATTTCCGTTCGCCGCATTTTTTCTGTTACGCTGTGTGTGAGTTGCGCGCTGCGCGACGCTGCGAATTCGCTCTGTTTCTGTTTTCCCCTGTATGCAGGTGTAGTGGTGAGTGAGTGAGTGAGCAAGCCGCAGCAACGGCGTCTCTGTTCTTATTCTCTCACGCATTGCTCTCACGCACACAACTACAACAACAGCGCGACCCGTGCCCGCTTCCGTTCGGGTTTTGTGTGGAAGTTGTGTGTGTAGTTTTTTTTTGTAGTTTTGTTTTGATTTTCATGTTTCTTATGTTTCGTCTTTGCGCTCCACATTCGCAGAGTCGCCGAAATGGCGTTGCCAACATTAAGAGCGAAAGCAAGAGTGAGAGCAGCCGTTAAGTGAGAATTGAAAAAAAGAGTTCAAACGTTATAACTGAAATTTCATTCATATGCTAACCATCTTTGGTATTCTCTTTTCTATCTACTTGCAGACAGAACAAGCACAATAATAATTACATCATTAACAACAACAACAACAACAAAAAGAACAACAACTATAAAAACAAACAACACCAACTTTGCACTTTAACATGAACAAAAATGCCGGCGATGGCAGCGGCAACGACGGCAAAAACTCAAACAATCACGGCAAGGGCGGCTCCGGCGGGGGTGGCGGCGCAGGGGCTGGCGGGCCCCACGATCCCACCGGACTATTAGACGCTGCTTCGCTGTTTGGTAAGTAATCCAAAAAACATCACAAAATATTGTTAACATTTTTCGTAAATTCTTCTCTTTGCCTGTTCTGCTTCTTGCCTGCAGCGTATTGGGGCCGTGATCCCACTGGAGCTGCAGCCGCAGCTGCTTCAAATCCGCTCTTTAACTCGCAGTTCAATGCTGCCGCAGCCGCCGGCTTGGGCCTATTACCAAATGCTGCGGGCGCAGCTGCCAATGACCGTTACTCATCAATGGCCGCTGCAGCAGCGGCAGCTGCAGGCGCCCATCATCACCAGAACACAATGGCCGTCGCGGCCTCCCAGGCCGCCAGCCTGGCAGGTCTGCATCCAGCAAGTGAGTAAAATGTCGGCATCGACACTCGTCCACATTAATTAGCATGCGAACAACGAACATCAACGGTACACGAAACGCGAGAGCCAACTGAGTCGACAAGGCCAACAAAAGATACTTGAAAAGGGAATAAGTAGCGACTGCGACGCATGCAGCACAGCAGCTGTGTTGGCGCTGCCCGCTAAAACGTTGCGAAATAAGGCAAAAAGTGCGTGCGACACGTTTAAGAGAAAGCGAGAGCGAAAGAGAGGCGTGTATTCAGTCAGCCGGAACTGAGCTCTGCCACACAGACGACTCAAGTTCGAGTCCTGGTCAAGAGAAAAAAAAAGGAAAAATGAACACAAGTCTTGCAGTTTGGGAATTATGGTTGCAAATTGATACAAATTTAGTAAGAAAGGGGAGAGGAGGAGGGAGAGGGATAAGTAATGACATTAGGTTTTTAGATATTCTCTTCATATTATCTCTGTTTCTATGTGGAGTTCAACAGCAAGTGTCTCGTCCATCTGCGCGATTCACTTGAAGAAAACGCTCCTAAAGCAACAATTTCGCTTGCTGGTTTAAAGCTTTACGCTTTGTCGGCTGCTCTTGGCCAACACAGCGATAAATAGTCAAGCATATCATTTTTTTTAAATTATTATTTGATTCGCTGATTCGTCTGATCTGATTAAGAAATGTTTGTTAAACTAATGCTAATTGTACTTTGCAGGCTGGTGGTCCATGGCTCAGTTGGCCGCACAGGATTACTTTAGCCGTCTGCAGGCCTCCGGGCTGTCGCCGTTTCCGCATCCCGATCTGGCAGCTGCCTTTGGGCCCGCTGCCATGGCAATGGGTGGCGGCGGCACGGGCTCCGGTGCGGGAGCAGCTGGCGGCGCGGGCATGGTTGGAGTAGGTGGCGGAGGTGGCTCCGCGGGCGGCGGCAGCGGCTCCAGCAGCAAATCGAACAAGTCGCGCAAGGAGAAACGCGCCGCCCAACAGCAGCAGCAGCAACAACAACAGCAACAGCAGCAGCAGAATCTGGCCAACAGCCTAAACGCAGCGGCGGCAGCAGCAGCCGCAGCAGCAGCCAACAATCCCGCCGCGGCCTTGGCCAGCATGCACGGCTTCGGACTGCCGGGCACCAGCATGCCGCCTTCGGGCAGCAGCGCCTCCATCTCAACAAGCAGCGCGGGCCATGGCGGCTACAAGGTGAGACCCTGACTAATGTAACCGCCAATAAGCTAGCTGATTAGGTTGTTTATTTCTTGTGAACTCTTATCGTTGGGCCGTCTGCCTTGTAATCTATTTCAAGCAAAACAAGAAGCGTTCTGATATTCTTTTAATTCGCAATAAGCTCATTTAGCAACTTTTTCTCTACCACTTTGATGAGAATTGAATATTAAGTTGATTCGATTACAAAGAGATTATAATTATTCTTCTTCGGTATTTAGACCTAACTGAAAAATGAAATTGGCTAAAAGAGCTCTACTATTAAATCTCACAGGAACATTAACTTTAATTAGATCCATAGATAGTATCTGTATTATTTTTTAATTTTCACTCTAATCTTCAATTTCTTTGCAGAGCACTGCCAGCGCGTATGGCAAGCCTTCGACAATGACCAGCAGCGGCAGCAGCAACAGTATTGCGAGCAATCCTGGATCTGCCTACGATCCGGTCACCCTGCACAAGGAGTTGCTGGCTATGCAGGCCGTTGCAGCGGCCGCCTCCGGCTCCGGCGTGGGCGGCATGTCCGGTCTCGGCAGTGGCGGCGGCTCCAACAGTTCCTCTGGCAAGAAATCTAGCGGAGGTGGTGGCTCATCGCTGCATGCCCACGGTCTGTCTAACCTGGCCATGAGCCTGGGCGCAGGCGGCAGCAGTGGGGGTGGCAGTGGAGGTGGCATCATGTCCAGCAGCAAGGCGTCCACCAATGTCAGCTCCAGTTCGAGCGGTGGCTCCTCGCTGGGTGGCATGCATCCGAGCATGTCCATGTCGCCGCATGCTAGCATCTCTGGCAGTGGCATGGGCAGCTCTGGCAAGGATCGGGATCGCGACAAGAACAACCCCTCGCTCAATGCTCTCAACTCGCTCTCACAATTCGGCACACTCGGCATGACGCCCCAGCAGAGCGTGCAGGCGGCCATGAATGCGTTTGCGGCGAGCAGCAATGCCGCGGCCAGCGCCACGGTCACCTCCTCGGCACATCTGTCACAGCAGCAGCAACAGCAGGTGGCCAGCACAACGATGGCCGGCAGCGGGAGCAAAGGCAGCGCCAAGGACTACATGAGCAATGCGGCCATGATGAGCAGGTGAGCGGGAGCACAAGATTTCGAGTAGAATCAAGTGAATTACTAATAATTTCTTTGCATCTGCTTTGCAGCGGCAGCGAGCATCCGTCGCTGCTGGGTGTGAGACTGCCGCCGGACACGGAGATTATCAAGTACACGTCCTCCATCGTGGGCCCCAAGATACCTGGTAGTACTTCACGCGGTCGCAAGAAGACCATATCCGAAACAGAACAACAGCAACAACAGTCCACACAGAAACAACAACAACACCAAGCAGAACAACAGCAACAACAACAACACCTTACACAACAACAACAGCAGCAGCAGAAGGACTTAGAAAGCACAACAAATGCAATTACCTCTCTGCTTGCAATTCCAGGGCTCAGTCCGGCGAAGCGCGCCAGACTCGAAATGGAGTACGCGGCTATGGCGGCCGCAGCACAGCAGCAGCAGCATCTGCACGGTATGCTGGGCGCCGCCGGGATGCCCATGGGTCTGGGCATGAGTCCCATGGACCAGCTAAGTGCCGTCTCCAAGGCGGCTGTTTCCGCATCGTCGTCGTCGACGGTGACCAGCACAGCTGGCTCCACAGCCGGGCACAGCCAGAGCCACAGTCACAGCCAAAATGCGTCCAACGATCGGGTGGAGGTCATCAAGCTGCCGCCGACAATCACCTCGAACGGTGCGTACAATCTGTCCAACAAGGGTTGCGGCAAGGAGCTGCACGATCTGACCACCGACCCGTCGCTGGCCTCTGGTGTTAATCTCAGCCTCAAGTCGAGTGCTTTGCCCGCCAGCGGCGCCATTGGCTCCGCCTCCAATCCCATCACCATAGACGACTTTGATGCTCCACTTAATTTGTCCATGAAACCCTCGGACAAGAATAGTTCAAACAGCATGAACGCCACAGCAGGAGCAGGAGCATCGTCTGCTGCCTCTTCAGCGGCTTCCTCGGCGCTGGGTAATCTGGCCAGCGATTATCAGGCGCAGGGCAGCGGCGGCAACGGTTCCAACAGCTTGCAGAGTCTGAGCTCTATAACCGCTGCCTTGGGCGGCACCGGCGGCATGCCGGGCGGCTCCATTTCCGGCAGCGGTAGTGGAGCAGGCGGTGCATCGCCTTCGCCGGCACAGGGCAGCATGCCAGCTGCCTCGGGCACGTCTAGCTCTGGCTCTGGCTCTGGTTCTGGCTCCTCGACATATAAGGAGGGACGACCGCGCAATTTGGGCCGTGGCGTGTCCAAGCCCAAGAAGAACACGGTGGCCTCGCTGCTGGCGCAGTCACGCGCCGTCGGACTGAAGCCCATGTTGGCCACGCAGCAGCTGCTCCAACAGGGCGCGGACATTGTAAGGCTAAAAGTAAAGGTTGCTCTTGGTTAACTATGGGTAATTGGTTTTATCTCGTGCAGGAAAAGATACGCTTGGCGCTGAGCGAGGCGAACGCACACATGGAAACGTCAACGGACTCGGAGAGCGTCGCCGCCGAGAGCGGCCTGTCGGAGTCGGAGAGCGAGGATGCCAACATACTGAATGTGGCGGAGCTGCGTGTGCCACTGGAGCTCGGCTGGAAGCGGGATACAGTCATACGCGGCTTAACCAAGCAGGGCCAGATCCGAGGCGAAGTCACCTACTACGCCCCGGGCAGCACCCTGCCCCTGAAGACCATTGGCCAAGTGTTTGCTGTGAGTTTGTAGGGCGCATTTGTAATTTGTAATACGTTTGAGACACTCGACACATTACCTGAAGGAAAACATTTTATTAACCGCGAAAATGTCAAGAGTAAAACATATTCCTTTTCGGTTTCGTCCCTGTCCAGCTCTTGGAGCAGCAGCCATCGAGTCTGACGCGCGAGAACTTTAGTTTCTCGGCGCGTGCCATTGTCGGCTCGTTCCTGCAGCCCGCGCCACCGCCCTATGCCAACGATGGCGAGTACATCCGGATGACGGACGAGGATGTGGCCAAGCGGCTGGAGGATCTAAAAGTATTTACGCGCCAGACGCTCAACGTGGAGCAGCGCATTGAGATCGCCAAGCAGCAGCAGGCGATGCGCGACGCCAAGAAACAGCAGAAGGAGGAGCTGGCCCGCAACAAGGAGAAGGCGCGCCAGGAGAAGAATGCCAAGCTGGAGCAGCAGCGCAAGGAGAAGGAACTCAAGAACCAGCAGGCCATCGAGGTAAGTCCAGCACGAAGATGACCCGCACCTTCAATTACTAAAGCCTAATCTGTTTTTGCAGGAGCGCAAGAAGCGTCAGGAGGAACTGGATCGCCTCAAGCAGGAGGAGTTGCTCAAAAAGCAGCAGGTCAGTTTCCAATCTATTTAAGAGTTCGTTTGAGCTCCTTTTCAAATTGGCATTTTCTTTGCAATATTTAGGAGAAAGAGAAGCGACGTCAGGAAGCAATTCTAGCTAAAGAACAGGTACAGCATCAATTTCGCCTCACGTTTGCCACTCTCTGCTGCGTATCTTGTGCTCCTCTCTTCACATACTTTATTGTTTGTTCTAAACATTTGATAATGTTTCTTATTTTCGCTTTTCTTTCCAAACTGAACATTTAAATCGAAACTTTCTAGTTAAGATTTGGCAAACCTAATTTATGAGTTTATTCTTTAGTTCAACCTTTAATTCCACTATCTAAATTTTTTTTGATTGTTAAAATCGGCTCGATCGAATAACTTCTCTTATGGGAATAATTGGTGTAAAATACTAAAATATTTGATATTCTTTTTTAAAAGACTTCTTCAAAGAAAACTTCTCTCACAAGCTTTAATACGTTTTCATAAAGATTTCACTAAAACAATCAAGCTTTGGTTTGCAGCAAGACAGAACTGTATTTGTATTTTTATTATTTACAATTATTTATCTGAATAATTCTTTTTTAAAATTATTTATAATACAGACTTTGAATGTGTAGCTAAAATTTCCTATCTGATTATATTGATCTGATGCATTTGTTTTCATATTCTAACATAAGTTTTCTATTCGATTAGTTTCCATTCAATCTTAAATGCGTACAAATTTTCTCTCTTATAGATTATCCATTTGTTTTGACTCTGTTCAATTTATATTTACTTGATGCCTTAGTTTTCATATTCTAACTTTAGCGCTGCGATTAGTTTCCATTCAATCACACTTGCTATCCTATTGATCATACGTTTGCTTTGTCTCTTCTCTTACACAGGAACTTCAGAAGCAAAAGGAGCTACTGCTGGCTGCCGAAATGGTAAGGGAATCGGTTGCTTTTCATTTTTCGAGCATATCTGTATCCTTTTCTTTTCCTTATTTTTTTGTAGGAGCGCGAACGTCGCCGCCAGCACATGAACTTGATCAGGATGCTCGAGTTGCGGCGCAAATTCGAAGAACGCGAAAAGAAGAAGCACCAGCTGGTGCTGGATCGCTTGATTCTGCGCGAGCGTCGCATGGCCGAGCGCAAGCGGGACGCGGAGATATTGCAGCTAATACGCAAGCCCAACGAGGACTCAGAGCAGCCGCAGGAGCTGAATGTGCCGGAACTGGAGCGCATCGCTGGCAATCGATTGCCCGGACAGGCGATGGCCGATTTGCTGATGGTGTTCGAGTTCCTGCACAACTTTGGCGAGACGCTGGGCTTTGACATGGAGTCGTTGCCGTCGCTGCAGAACCTTCACGATGCGCTCATCAGCGACAGCAATGCGGACGCCGAGGAGGAGCTGCTGTCGGTGATGACGCACCTGCTGGTCTGTGCCATCGAGGATCCGGGTGTGCCCAACCCTGGCCGGCACACCACGCTGCTGGGCCAGTCGCTGCGCAACGCGGACATTACCAACTCGAACGTGTCCGAGATCCTGCGCATCTACCTGTACGCCACCGCCACTGGCGAGATTCGCCAGATGCACGGCATCACTGTGGACAGGGAGCGCGAGCGACGCGTGCCCGACCACCACCAACTGGACGCGGATACGGCCACGCACTCGGCCAAGAATCATGAGTACTACAAGCTGCTGCACGAGAACGACACTTGGAAGCTCTCGCACGCACTCAAGGATCGCCCGTTCGTGGCGCTCAATCCGACGCGCAAGGCACAGATGCTGGCGCACCTGTGCAACGACCTGCTGATGAACAAGGCGGTGCTGCGACAGATCGACGGCAGCCTCGAGACCTGCGCCCAGATGCGCAAGGAGAAGTACATGACCGACATGAAGGTGCGCAAGTACAAGGCATTGCACCAGCGCAAGGCTCGCATCGAGGCCTACGAGAAGGCGCAGGCGGAGCGTGAAGCGGCAATGCAAGCGCTCCTCGCCCAACAGAAGCTCGACGCCGAGCGCGAACGCGAACGTCTCGCCAAGCAGGCAGAGGCCGAAGCCGAGGCAGAAGCCAACAAACAGGCAACCACCGAGTCGCCGGCTGAGGGAACTGCTGCGGCAGAGCCAATTGCTGGCGCCGAGTGCAACAGCGAGGATAAAACTGAGGAGGAGAAAGCCAGGCAGGAGCAGCAGCAGCAGCAGCAGCAGACTCCAGACACGGAGCAACCACAGCCCATGGAACTGGATGGCGATGCTCCAGTACTGATTGCCAGTAGCGGCGATTCAGTAGCGCCGCTCGCCGCCGCCCCCATGTCCGAGGTGAGTCCCTCGAAGCAGCTGGCCAAGCTGGAGGAGTATCAGCAAAACGGCGGAACAGCAGCAGGAGCAACAGCTGTGGCTGATGTCGGGATGACGGCGCTGCTTCAGGCGAAGAAGAGCGGCGCACGCAACTCAATCAATGAGGATGGGCACTCGCAGAGCCACGACGTGAGCATCATTGAGGATGACCTGTCCGATTTGGACTCGGAGATAACCAACGTCGAGGAGGACGAGGACAATCGCCTGAGTGCCGACGAGCTGCAAAAGAAGCTGGACAAGATTGTGCGCGCCTCGCTCAATTGCAAGGAGGCGCTGGAGAAGAGCACCAATCAGCTGCGGGCCGCTTGCTTCGGCCAGGATCGTTTCTGGCGACGCTACTGGAAGCTGCCAAAGGCTGGCGGCATTTTCATCGAAGCTCTCGAGTCGGCCCAGAACGACATTTGCGGCTACCACGAGGCACTGGAGGCCATGGACGAGCAGCTGCAACAGCAGACGCAGCAGGAGACGCCAAGCGAACCACAGAATGTGGCCGTAGATGGCGCCGAACAGCAAGAACCGCCCGCACAGCTGCCAGACGCAAATGTCCCTGCAGCAACAGCAGCTGCAGCAGCAGCAGAGCAAATGGAGGTCGATGAACCGACGGAACTGGACAGTGTCAAAGCGCAACAGGCGAATCACCAGACAGAGAACGAGAACGAGGAAGAGGACGACGACGATGATGTGACGGAGATAAACAAAGTGGAGCCGGAGATTGTGGACCTTGGCGACGATGATGATGAGGTGTTGCCCACCATTGTGAAGTCCGCGGAGCCTGTCGTGGCGGCCAGGCCAGAGATTAAGGTCAAGTCGGAGATGGAGCTAATGGGACCGCCGCCCACGGTCATCTCCACGAAAACCGACTTTGAGGCCGAGATCAAGATACCCACCATTCCGGGTCTAATCCCAACTCTCAGCAACAGCAACAACAACAACAACAATAATAATAACAACAACAATAATAACAACAACGGCGGCGGCAGCAGCAACGGCAACTGTGATAAGGTGGAGGCAATGAGTCAGGAGGATCTGAAGAAGGAGGACGACTGCATCATTGTGTCGACAACGCAGATTGGCGAGGACGCCGCGCCCAAATGGTTCTCGATTGTTAAGCGCGAGGTGCCGCTGGTCAGCGAGCTGCCGGCGGAGGAGGGCGGCGTCGTGGCCACGGAACTGCAGCTCAGCTATGCCAGCTATCAGCACTGCAGTGCACAGCTGCAGCTGCAGGGCCATCCCTGGGATCTGATCAACAACATGCAGTACTACAGCATACCCATGGAGGAGTGCAAGGTGGATCCCACGAAGTTCAGTCAGGAGTGCATCTTTACGTTGTCGGGACTGGACGAGAAGCAGATGCAGGCCAAGCTGGATGAGTACGAACAGGCCAAGTTAACGGTGTCAAAAAACGGTCTGGCGTCTCCTCATCGTGGCCAGCCAACCGATGAGGAGCAGCAGCAGCAGCAGCTACTAAAGCTTTCCAAGTCCAAATCCGAGCCGGAAGCGTTTTTTCGTTTGCGCGCTGATGCCGCACCGGACACGGGCGGCGGGAGCGGCGAATCTCTGGACTTGAAGCCCAAGATTGAGCTGCGTCTGGACGAGGCACTGTCCCAGGCGTATTACCACAACATAGCGAACATGTCTCTAAGCAGCGTGCAGACCTATATACCGATAGACATTCCGTTGCCGCTGTCGATGACGCCGGACGAGCACCGGCTGCTGGAGCAGGTGAAGCTGGCCGGCTTCCCGGATAAGGTGCACGGCGTCTATGTGCCGCGCAGGCAGCGCTACGGCTGGTGGCAGCTGGACGACGAGCAAAAGCTGCGCCAGCTGCTGAAGACGTTGAATCCGTCGGGACTGCGCGAGCGCGAGCTACAAGAGAATCTGACGCGCTTCCTCGGACTCGAACAGCCGCTGGGCGTCAACTATCAACTGAAGCTGAACGAGGCCCAGGCCGAGCTGGTCGAGTACATGATGCCGGACCGACCCGGCGACTGGAACCCCAAGGTGGCCAGGCGAGTAGAGTTGGCACTTTTGGAGCAGCTCGAATCGCTGGAAGATAAAGTTGCCAGCGCCTCGATGCAGCTAAAGAACTGGCAACTGCCCACGCGCAGCGACAATGATATCAATCTGGGCGAACAGGAGGAGATGGGCGAGGCGGACTTTGTGAGCATCATACCCATGATAAGGGAGCGCATCATCGATCTGGAGGCCAATATCGAGCGACGCTATCTGAAGCCGCCGCTGGGCTCCCAGACCGGCGATGCCCACCTGGCCGTCATTGCCCAGAACCAGCAGACCTCCACGCAGACGCAGAACTCCGCCTCGGCAGCCGCGTATCTCCTGCAGATGCAGCAGCAGCAGCAACAGCTGATGGCCCAGCAGCAGACCCAACAGCCCGGCAACAACCTCAACGCCTCTGTCTTTAACGAGCGCGCCATGGCCCTGGCCGCGGCTGCTGCGGCAGCTGCTCCCAGCACCAGCGTCGCGTCCACATCCTGCGAGACGATGGTGCCGGCAGCAGGAACCCTGGAGCCCTGCTCCGGCGCCGCATCGCCGGCCAGCAATTGCGACAGCGACAAGGACGAGAAGGTGGAGAATATACCCAAGGGCCTGGTGCAATGGCGAGATGCCGTCGCCAGATCCCATACCACCGCCCAGCTGGCCATGGCCCTTTATGTGCTGGAGTCCTGCGTGGCATGGGACAAGAGCATCATGAAGGCGGTAAGTTTCAATTCTATGTCTTTTGCTTTTGCTTATCTCTTAGCTTGGCACCCCACAACTATCCCCAGCCATCAGCCCACAAACCCATCAACCCAACAACCCAACACTACAAACCATTCCCCCTCCCCCACTGACATTGCTCCTTGAAGCCCTAATCCTTCATTCTGCAGTCAGACGCCTTTCATTCCCCATTTAGTTTTTGGCATTCATACATCTTTATACTCACATTATAATCCCATAACCGACACACACACACACACTCTCACACACATATGCACTAACCAATTTTCATCAGTTTTCTTTTACATCGTACCTTGTTTCCTTCGACCCCAAAAAGAAAAGCAGAGGAATAGATTTGTTTAGAGACATACGAATAGAAAGTAGAGAGTAGAGACAAATGAATATTGTATGCTCTTCAGGCAGATTTTAAAGACTTCGTAACATTTTGAAGACTTACTTTGAAGACTTTTCAAACTAGATTTGCAGTCAATGGGAGAAAACGGAAAATGAGTTAGACCTTATATATCTCTTTGAGTAATACTTTTAAGCGGCTCAAGCAAAAAATAAGAACGTTTTTCTTCAAGTTTTTCTATTTAATTTTTACATTTATGAAATCCACAATCAGTTTGTTTCTGACTGGGGTTTTAATTAACAGTATGGGTTAGATGATCGTTTAATAAAAGAAAATATTATTTGTATAGCTGTTTAGGCTACTTATAATAAAAAATTCTAGATAACTACAAGACATTTATAGGATTCGCTCTCCAATTTGTTGTCTTGCCACAATTAGTAGTTATTTTTTTGTAGTCCTATATCATTCCCAACTATTCGAAGCTTGTAGAAGTTCCAAGTTCCCAAGTAGTGCGTTTTCTTTTGGATCATCTAGCATTTGAAATTTTGTTTCTGTTGCATGTAAACTTATGTAGAATTCTCTTTCCTTTGCATCTGTCGTCCTTAATTGAACAAAATTATTGACTGCCTTGAAATTAATTCGAATTTTTTATTGTTTGTTCTGTTTCTTTCTTAACACTTTCGCTGAATGTTTGACTTGTTTGTTGTTTGTGGTGTTCAATGGTGTTCTCTTGTTCAAAATCAATAAACGAATTTAACGCTTTCATACACACACACACACTCTCACACACATACACACACATAAACATACACCCATACACATACACACACATACATACATAAACACGCCATTTGTTTCACAATCGAATGCTTTTGTTGCCATACCCGCTACCGTTATCCGTTTACCCGTTTGCCCGCTGCAACGAACGCAACATTTCCTTCAAACCGACTCGGACGCAACCCCAACTCGAACGCAACTTTGAATCTGAATCTGACTGCGTACAAAAGTATGCAACGCCCGCAAAGAACAACAAGTCCAACAAGAAGAAAGGCAGCGCCAAAAAGCAGGCTACACCAAAGAAGAAGCAGCAGCAACAACAAGAGCAGAGCGCCTCAAAGCAAAAGCAGTCCAAGAAGGAGAAGAAGCAGTCCAGTAAAGCAACTCCGAAGAAATCAAAGCCAAAGGAAAATGCGAAAGAGACGCCAACTGCAGTAAAAACTCCTTCGATGACCATAAAAATAAATTTGAAAGCGTTGGCACAGAACGGATGTGACCAGAACTCGAACTCAAACTCGAACTCGAACTCGTACTCTGACTCGAATTCGGACTCGGACACTGACTGCAATTCGTATTCGAACGGCAAACGCAAACGACAAGGACGACGTTCAGGCACTACTACAAACTCTTGCAAATATTCAAACTCCTTACAGAATTGCCAGTTCTGCACCTCGGGCGAGAACGAGGACAAGCTGCTGCTCTGCGATGGCTGCGACAAGGGCTACCACACCTACTGCTTCAAGCCCAAAATGGACAACATACCCGATGGCGACTGGTGAGTAGAAAGCCAACCAAACCCAACCCAACCAAAGCAAACCAAACCGAATCAAACCAAACCAAATTCTTCATCCGACTCAGCCCTTTGGTCATCAATCTGTTCATCCCTCGCACATTTGTCGCATCGTTTTGAATTGTTTACTTTTGTTTTGTACGCCCGCGTCCAAGTCCAAGTTCACCCACGCCACGCACTGTGCCGCGTCCCGCCCCCTAATCTAATCCCCCTGAGCTCTGTCCTGTTTGCACGCGACTAATGAGATCCTTCTGCTTGCAGGTACTGCTATGAGTGCGTCAATAAGGCGACCAACGAGCGCAAATGCATCGTCTGCGGCGGCCATCGGCCCTCGCCCGTCGGCAAGATGATCTACTGTGATCTGTGCCCGCGCGCCTACCACGCCGACTGCTACATTCCGCCGCTGCTGAAGGTGCCGCGCGGCAAGTGGTATTGCCACGGCTGCATCACCCGCGCGCCGCCGCCCAAGAAGAGGAGCGCCGCCAGCAGCGGCAGCAGCAGCAGCAAATCGCGACGGGATCGCGATGCCAGCACCGCGGCAAAGCGACGCGGCAGCGACAAACATCAGATGTTGGCCTCGGCCGGCAGCATGGAGCAGCTGTGTCCCATCGATCCACACCAGCAGCAGCAGCAACAACTGCAGCAGCAACAGCAACAAATGCTGCTGCATGGCTCACAGCAGTCGCTCAACTCGTCGCATGACGAGTCCATGACATCCCTTCCAGCGCCGCTTAGGTGAGCGACCCTTTCAAATACATATTCCACTTCCGATCCCACGCATTCAATTATGTAGAATAACAATCAAATACATAATACTTTTATCGTGTACATACATACATTTTCAAATAATACATATCTCAAATACATTCACAAGAATAACCTCTCGCACTTTTGATTCACATCATGGGCAAGCACCTAACAAACAATTCATTCAAATATTATTCTTTCCGCTCCAATATCAGAGTTTTGCACCGAGTTTTTCATCATATGTAGTATAAGATTGTATTTAAATTATTTTAGCAATAGTCTGCGGCGAATTTTAATACCCAAAGCCGAACAAACTAAAAAAAACAGATAGTTGACTCAATATATTAAATGTACTGTCTGCCGTAGAGGCCGCATTGACCTCTTTATTTAAAATGTACAGAACAAAAATAGATCTATTTTGTTATGCATAATCAAATCAATGGTTTCATTGAAAATTGATAAAAATCTGACGATAAATTTCTCGAAATGAAAGCAAAGTTTGTGGATGTGGAAAAACAGCTGCACGAACCGAAATCAAAAGTGGGATAGGGATCGCTAAAAACATTTACTTTTTTTTGATCACTGTTGTTCATGTTGGCAAATGGTAATACATATACCAGGGTGTTCTCTGAAAGTTTTACGGAAAGTGTGCAACACTTCTAAATTGAATTTGAGCAAAGAACTTTGGAAATGAGTGTGAGGTCGATTGCATGGTAAACTAAAAAGTTTCAAAGATTTGTTGTTATATCTGCGAGTGGATTTTCCCAAAAACTCAGTTTTAGCGTGCGCTTTACATAAGGTAACCACAGCAAAAACTCCAGCTTCGCCAAACAATCAGTCAATCAGTCAGTCAGTCAGGACATTTATTTTTTCCTGAGATGCCTACAAAATTTGAATATATAGAGCATACTCTCTAGAGAAATATGTGAAAAATTATGATATGAGAACTATGTGTGAATATTATATCGCAGAAAAGAACATAATAAGCTGAAGTAAACAGGAAAGAAACATACTGTACTTTAGCAAGAAAAAAGTCAGCGATAAGAGATTGGATGTAGAAGCATCCAAACATCTAAACTACCAACAAGTAATTACCCAATAAGAACACATCATATAATCTGTTATGCTTCATGTTTATTAAACAAACACCACAGTAAAAAACTTATCTACTTTGTCAATATTATAAAATACAATTCCGTAGAATACTGATGCTTATGCAAATAAACTATCGTTATATAAAATAGGTATAGATATAAATCTTATAATTTGTAGAGTTAGGAAACCCTCATTTGAATCCATAATGGTCCCTTTTACATAATTCCAATTAACATTAATGATTAGAGGAAGCCGATGAATGTTTCGCCCAATCTAAAAACAAATTTTCGTTCACATTTTGCAGTCCGGCGCATTCGATTGCCTCGGCCACGTACGATGAGCAGCATCACAATAACTCGATTGATGCCAGCCGTTTCCAGGCGCATCTCGGCAACAACAATGGAGGCGTGCAGCTGGAGGAGAGCGGCTCCTTTGCGGCTGGCTATGCAGCGCCGAGCAACTTTGGCGTGGTCTCTCTGCCCCAGGCGATGCAGTTTGCGGCCATGTCGCCGCGTGAGGTGACGCCCACACGCACCCCGACGCCCACGCCGACGACCACGCCCGTGACGGCACCAACACCACCACCGCCAGCGCTGCCAGCGCCGCTGCAGCCACCGACGCCGAACGTAACGGCACCTATTTTGATGCAGGCATCGCCAACGGCACTGCTGAACGTTGCCTGCCAGTCGCCGCCGCAGCAGCAGCTGATGGCCATGCCGTCGCCGCGGACATGCACTCCGACGCCGCCGGGTGCTGGTGGCGGTGGGGCTGGCACGCAAATGTCGCCGCCGCCCATTAACATACACGCCATACAGGAGGCCAAGGAGAAGCTGAAGCAGGAGAAGAAGGAGAAGCATGCCACCAAGAAGCTGATCAAGGAGCTGGCCGTCTGCAAGACGCTACTGGGTGAAATGGAGGTAAGGAAACTTATATAAAAGCAATTGCAAAGAGCTAATTAACGTATCCTTCGACAGCTTCATGAGGATTCGTGGCCATTTCTGTTGCCTGTGAACACCAAACAGTTTCCCACATATCGCAAAATCATTAAAACGCCCATGGATCTGTCCACAATCAAGAAGAAACTGCAGGATTTGAGGTGTGTAAATCATTTGTGCACAATCTGGGTTTGATTTTAACAGAAGTTTATCTTGTTTTTGATGGGCAGCTACAAGTGCCGCGAGGACTTTTGCGTGGATGTGCGGCAAATCTTTGACAACTGCGAGATGTTCAACGAGGATGACTCGCCTGTGGGTAAAGCGGGGCATGGCATGCGCAAGTTCTTCGAGTCACGTTGGACGGAGCTCACCGACAAGCACTCCTGATATCCTCCCCTGCCGCAGCTAAATCCAGCAACAGCAACAGGAACAGCAGCACCAGAAGCAGCAGCAGCAGCAGCAGCAACAACTGTTGCAGCTGTAGCAACTGGAAGTACAACAACGACGATGCCGCCACAGACAAGCGCAACAGCAGCACAATTTTGGTAGAGATCAGGAGAATATAGAATTTGTATATATATATGAAGATGAACAGCAAAAGGCAGGCGGGCTGAAAGGCAGAATTATTAGAAGGCTAAGGCATAAGAAGGTAGCTGTAGTTTGTATTATTACGCATTATATTAAAACATATATACACATATATATACAGAGTATGCAAACAGACGCCTGAGTTATCAACGTCCCAGTTTTGAGAGACTCGCGAGGAGGAGGAGGAGGTCTTCAACTTGTGAATATCTATAGCCACGAACAAACCCAATGAAATGTGTATTTTTTGCCAAGAGAGATAACTGTTTTTAGTTAAATTGCAAGCAGCAGCAACATTTAACTAACTATTTAGACTACAACTAAAATGGTAACGAAACTAGAAGCCAGAAGCTGACAAACCGAACAGTAACGTGTGTCTATGCAACATTTGAACAGTATTTGCGCACAAAGCTGCTTTGCTTTGTTATATTATTTGATTTAATTTAGATATTTGGATAGTAGTCGACTTAACTATAACTGTAACCGTAACTGTAATTCTAACTATACCTACTTATAAATCTATGCTTTATGAATTACATTGTACTTGATTTGTTAGAAATCACGAAGCGCTCATTTAAGTTTTAATTTGTATCTGTACTTATACTTAGTAACCGTTTGCATCTGTACCGCAAGCATTCATTGTATTTATATATATGGACTAAATCCAAATCCAAAACCTAAATCTAAAACTAATCTTACCTAAAATATACTCAAAAGGTAGACGGCAACGTTTTGTAAATTAATTCAAAATTAAATTAAATTTATATAAATTATATACCGAGTGTACATTTCAACAACAACAACAACATTTAGTGGGCATTTCTTAAGAGCCAAATAAAAAACAAAAGAAGTTAAATGCCTTGGCAGGACACATAATCGCATAGAGATACAGTATTAAAGGAAGCACACAGAGCAACACTCACACACAACACACACACATTTCTAACTAAATATTTATGAATAAAGAAAAGAAAAACAATCGAAAATTTAAGGCAATTTTACAGCTTAGCTTAGACACGATTAAAATGAATGTGGCATATTAGAAATCAGCCACTGCAAATTGCACAATTTTAGCTGTAAATACAACAAATTAACAAATAAATAAATAAATATTATAATAAAAAACAAATACATAACCGAACACAAATCCAAATTAAACTCACAATATACATACAATACATATATGCTGAGTGTTGTTAATAACATGATACACACGAAATGCGAGAATATTTATATTATGACAATTTTTGAATAAATTATTAATCATTTGCAGTGCCGCACAATAATTGAATGAAAACAAACGTTGACAGAAAAACATAGAAACAATTGAAACAGAAATCATGTTCAAGCTAAGCCAAATCCAAATACAACACAAACTTTGACTTTGAGATGAAGATTTGTTTAATCGCTTGTATTTAGACTGAGTAGAAGCTTGAACCATCCAACAAGAAGCAGATGCAACCATAACCAGATATAGACAGAAAACCTCAACAATTGAACTACCTACAACAAAAACATCCAAATTGGTTAAAACGCAAATTGTAAGACATAATAAATAGATTGTATAAAGTACTACAAATATTACCAGTACCCAATACCTACTGAGAGTATGGAAACATAACACTTTACATATATTGCATGTTAAGCCATAAACTGATATTTATAAATGTGTGTAGCCGCATGAAATAGTTGAAGGGTATTACTTTGCCTATGTAAATAGAAAGCTTCAGACTTTTCACCCCACCCAACACACACAGACACGCTCACACTCTACCCAATGTACATACTAAAGGACAAACCGCATGACAGCATTTTGAAGCTTTCATAACGCACACGCACAAATGACAATGATGGTAATTGGGTTTTTGGCATTCGTCGATCAGTTCAGATCAGATATTATATATTAAATTGGATCTATAGCATATCGCGCTTAGAAGGACTTCATCCTTCAGGTTTAGTCGGACTTTTAGCGCTTTCGTCTCGTTTCGATGCCCAAGAAATCAATTTGAAAAGTCAACTTGAAGCTGTCGACAGTAAAAACAATAACTAATCGCATGTGTGTTGTTTTTGGTGATACATTACAGAAAAACATTTATTTTTAAAGCGTATTTAACTAATAATAATAATAAATAATATCGTACATATACAACCTATTTAATGACGGAATATTAAACATATGATTGTGGTCAAAATAAAACCAAAAACAAAAATCAAACAGCAAATCTTACGATAAACAAAATTCCCTAAACTGAAAGTAAAATCATAAGAGGTACTTTCGACATTTGTGCACTCATGGAAACAAATACAAGTAAATAATATCAAAAATGTACTTCAAGTCTTTTAATTAACAAATTCGATAAAACATTTTGGATTTTAATATGAATTTGTTGGATAATTCAATTGGGATCCTTAATTCGTACGAATACAAAAGGGATAACATTAGAAAATTAGTCGTTATTTACTCGACATATTCCAAAATAATTATCAAAAAAGTTTCGATTTTCGAACCGACCCCGAATTTGAGAAAAAACGTGATGTAACCCCTTGCCATTTCGTTGATTTTGGTCAAAATTTAGATTTTCATTTTTTTGATGCCAATCGATAGTACTGATCCTTACGAGTCCAAAATGGTATAGAATTCCCAAATCGTACATTATTTGGCCGAGATATTCCAAAAAATCATCAATAAAGGTTGACTTTACAAACGAATCGGTTTTTGGTCAACCATTTTTTTTAACCCATCGATTTTTAAAATGTTTGAATGCCAATTGATAGTAGGGATCCCTACGAATTCAAAAAGGCATAACATTTCAAAATCTGACAAAATTTACCCTAGATATTCAATAAAAATCATCAACAAAGGTTTGATTTTCGAACCGACCCCCGAAATTGAGAGAAAACGTGATGTAACCCCTTGCCATTTTGTTGATTTGGGTCAAAATTTGGATTTTCATTTTTTTGATGCCGATCGAAAGTACTGATCCTTACGAGTCCAAAATGGTATAAAATTCCCAAATCGGACATTATTTGGCCGAGATATTCCAAAAAAATTATCAAAAAAGGTTGACTTTAAAAACGAATCGTTTTTTGGTCAACCACTTTTTTTAACCCATCGATTTTAAATTTCTTTGAATGCCAATTGAGCATAAAAAGGTATAACATTTCAAAATCAGAGAATATTTACCAGAGATTCTAAAAAAATCATTAAAAAAGTTTTGCTTCTCGAACCGACCCCAATTTGAAAAAAAACGTGGGTATTATAGATTTAATTGTTTGCCAATCGATGGATCAGGGATCCGTACGAGTCGAAAATGGAACTAGTTTCCTTGAAGAAAAAAAGGGAAATACTAAAATAGATATGGTATAAAGTACGGATGAGAATTTTAGAAGCTAATTAATGTGCAGACCTGTGTTGTACACATAGAGTAGAAACCTACTAAAATGAACCGAAACTGCTCATTTTAAATTCCTCTCATATGCATTTTAATGTCAAAGAGACTGCTTTCTCACCATTGTTACTGGCCATGCATTTGGTTCATTCTGTTTTGTTTGCTATCCTAAAGAGCCACAATTCGATAACTCACACACTCTGCATGTGATCCTGTGAGTGGCCTTTCTGTAAATGAGCCAATTGAGGGCCTACAAGGGTTGTAGACCGCAAGCCCCTGATTAAGGTCCAGCGGATGATCCAGTTGCAATGCCCTGCCCCGACTCATGCAAGTGAGGTCCGGCATTGCTTGGAACATCCACACACGCCATTTACAGTTGTTGGGAGAATGCAATTGGATGGAGTCGATCATCTGTATATGTCCGATCTCTGTCAGAGCACAAAGGTGAGCCATAATGAAATTGAATGAGCGGCAATTACAAATTTGAGTCTTCTTGGTTTTGAAAGCGCATCAAAAACTTACCGCAACTGTCGGTCGGCCCTGTTCACTGGCCATGTCGCTCTGCACTGCGATGTCGATGCGCATCTCTGGCAACTGGTCAATTGGTCAGCTAGGGCTGTCCAATCAGTCAGTTGAATCGGATGCAACCGACGTGTGTGGCATGTGGCAAACTGCACCGCAAACTGTTTGCAAAAAGTGGCAGCTGCAACTGTAAATCAAAATGTTTCGACAATTTGCCACAAAATCAATCAACTTGGCTTAAATTTGTATTTCGGCCAGCCCCATAAATCTACTTTGGAGCCGACTTTTCGGGAACGCTGACAGATTAGCAGCGATTCGCATGCCGGTTTTATGTAGGTGCGATTTTTACTGTGAAATTGGCCGCACATAAAACGTTAGTGTGGGACCCGGGATCCGGGACTCGGGACGATGCGAATTGGAGCTGTGTGGGAACAGCGGCCCCTTTAGGTGTTAATACTGTGCCCTTTTTATGACCCATACACACCAGCACATAATCCGGAACAATCAGCGTTAAAAAGCCGACAACCTGCGCACGCAAACGACTCATTAAACCAGAGACAGATTTCAGTATATAAGATTCTAAGTATGGCTGCTACCTATATATGTATATAGATATATTTATATATATGTCGGAACTGAGAAATCACTTTCTTTGCAATTAGGCATACTGGCAGCACAGCAAGTCCCGAGTGTCGTTATAGTCACAAAATAATTATATTTTTAGGAGCGAGCACGTCTGTTCTCTATGACTTCCACTTTTAGAATGAATAATTTTCATCGTCCTCGAGGATACTACTCATGCTCTTGTCATTCTATATTCTTCTCTGACTTTTAGTACTGTTAGTGAACATGCAACACTATAGCAAAGTGAACGTTATACAACACACTCGGGCCATGCTCGGCAGAGACTATCTTTTTTGTCTCACACCATGCTTTCAGTAGCAACCCTAATACAAGTAGGACAGTTATGTTAAATAGCAGTACCTTCTGTCAAATTCTCTGATTCTTACTAACACTTAATCGTTAGCATTCAAAATAATACTCACAATAATTTATTGGATACACGACACGGCCTTCCTGACATTTCACACGTCCTCGTGTGTACATTTCGCTTAGATCATGCCATAGTCAAAATTGTTGGGTAAAATTTATTAGTCATTACTTTACTTTAAAAATAGCTTTACAAACAGCAGTATCATCGGTCATTGTAGGTTTTATTTTTATTTTTTTTTTTTTTTTTTTTTTTTTGTTGTTGTTCTGTCATCACACGTCTATAGGCTCTTGCTGCCCAGCAACGATAACATGGAGCGGATCCATACAGGTCTTTCAACCTCTGACCCCCGCCATAATATCACCCGCTTCAGCACGCCATGATCGAGCACTTGTGCACGGCGTGAGTATTATGGTGCGGTCTTAGCCATCGTGTATGAGCCCAACCGCACTCTCTCTTAGTGCCACAGTGTCTTGAGCAATGTCCTCAACATTGTCACACTCATCATCTCTGAAATCTATCAACTCCTCCGACACATTGTTGCTTGGAAAAGCTCGCAAATACTCATGCGCATACTTAAACGTGCGCTTACTCGTCAATGACTTTAATAAATATCTGTCTCCATCAAGTATTTCGATTATCTCAAAAGGTCCCTTAAACTTGGGATCTAACTTCGTTTGATTTCGTTCTTCCCTTTTGAGTAGGACATGATCACCAAGCTTATATTTTACAATTTTTGCTTTATTTTTATCAAACCTAGCCTTATCATATTTAGCGTTATTCACTATGTTGTCTTTCGCTTGTGCTCTTATTAAATCTTTATCAATTGTTTTTTCATCTGACATTGTTATCATTCCTAACGGCCTTGCCT